ATATATACGGGTGGGCGGGGGCATTTAGAGAGCCGAAATATTCTCGGCTCGATTTATTTCCTAAAATCAGTATTTCAATGACCAAATATTGGAAAGTCAATACGGCCGAGAATTTTTAAAAAATAAGCTACACATCTATCTATCTATCTATCTATCTATCTATCTATCTATCTATCTCTATCTATCTATCTATCTATCTATCTATCTATCATCTATCTATCTCCTATTTCTTCATATCTATCTATCTATCTATCTATCTATCTATCTATTTCTATCTATCTATCTATCTATCTCCGTTTCTTCATATCTATCTATCTATCTATCTATCTATCTATCTATCTATAGTGTAGCTATTTATTAAACTTGACTTAGTCTGGTAGAAGGACACATGTGTAGAAATTCCAATGTGGATGAAATTGACTACAACAAATTAGTCTGTGATACTATTTTGTTAACCGCTACATTTCATAAGGTACCCTAATAAGCTACACACAGATAAACATACATGATATCTATCTATCTATCTATCTATCTATCTATCTATCTATCTATCTATCTATCTATCTATCTCCGTTTCTTCATATCTATCTATCTATCTATCTATCTATCTATCTATCTATCTATCTATCTATCATAATTATAGTGTAGCTATTTATTAAACTTAACTTAGTCTGGTAGAAGGCCACATGTTTAGGAATTCCAATGTGGATGAAATTGACTACAACATCATTGATATTAGTCTGTGATACTATTTTGTTAACCGTTACATTTCATATGGTACCCTAACGAGAGTTATATATAAATTTGCATATATGTGTATTTGTGAGTGAGGGAACATTTGTTTTTGTTGTTACTATATAGGAAATAAATTTATTTAACAAAGAAGATATCCTTTGACTACATGTTTGGAAATATTCTTTGTAGCCATTAATTACACTTTATTACACATTCATTTCTGTTTCTCTTGATCGGGCTTCATTTTTTTTATTTCATGTTCTCTTTATGATTTTCACCTTTTTTTACTCCATTTCTTTTTTAAATCTAACACCTCCATTTTAAGTTCACCTTTTTAATCTGACCTGCACTGATTTTGACTGAAGATTTCATTTTTTCACCATAATAAGCATTCACACACTCCCTATATATATTTTTTTATCGTTTATTTTCCAAAGTTCCTTAATCCTTTTCTATTTTCCTTACTCTACTAAATTTACTATGCCAGCCAATCACCATTTTCCTAAAATACAAAGATTGAAAGCAAGTTGTAAATGTTTTTCAACTGCAGCTTTCTGCTTTCACTACCGGTTAAAAAGGGAAGAAGGAAAAGAATGAATGAGCAAAACTGAAAGAAGAGACCAAATGAAATAGAGCAGAAGGAAAAAGGGGGAAAAGTGAGGACGGAATTAGAAATGAAATGAAAAATTTGTGAAATAAGGCTTATATAACATTGCAGTGGAGTTGGAGAAAAAAGGAAAAAAATCGTAATAGAAAAAAAAAAGCTTACGGAAAAGAGCGAATGTAAAGAGGGAAAAAGAAAGAAAGCAAACACTAAAGGTAGTAGAATGAAGATTTTTTTTTTAAAAGTCGCCGATGTGAATGAATAGAAAGTTGAATAAATAACGAGAAAAATGGAAGAAGAAGAGGTAAAAAGAAAAAAAAAGTGCTGTCAAGTAAAAAAGAAAATGATTATTCATTTGCTTATCCCATATTTTGAGAAGCTTATTGACTAGTTAAGAAGGAAGTAACAGAAACTAGAGTTTAAAGTATGTGGTAACAAAATGCCTACCTATTCATTAAAATGACATTTTTAACGACTATCCAAATCGAAGTATCTGAATTTCATTTTTTTTATTGGCCCAAATGCATCGGGCGAAACGTATCATCCTTAGTTAAAACTTTCCCTAAATTGATTTTTAAGTCTCATTTATTTAGAAAAAATGCAAAGGGAAATTGTGAGTTGCGAAGGAAGGGGCGTTAGACGTTTAAACAAAGGAAGAAAAATAGTCTTTATTTGTAGAAGGAAAGATGTGAAAAGAGAAAATGAACAAATAGAGAGAAAGAGTGATGATAAAGAAAGATACAGGAGAGCGAGAGAGAGAGAGAGAGAGAGAGAGAGAGAGAAAGACTTGTGAAGAAGAAAGACATGAGCGAGAAAGAGTGAAGAAAAGTTACACGAGAGAGAAAGACTGGCGAGGTAAGAAGACATACATAGGAGAGAAAGACTGATGATAAAATAAATTGTTGAAAAAGGAAAACATCAACCAAAAAATAGAGAAGCGATTGACAAAAAAGGCAGGAAAAAGAAATCTTTGTATGAAGAAGAAAGAAAAGGAAAAGGGCGAACGTGAATAAAAATGCTTGAATAAAAGACACAAGAAAAAGTTAGCGTTCGTGAATGAAAGAGATGAAGAAAAGAAGGTGTTAGAGAAAACATCCCCTTAAAAAAAGACAAACAAACTAAAAAGCTGTAAGTTCGTAAGCCTCCTCCTTGATGCCAAGAAATAAAATGAATTGCTCGTGAAAAAAGTAGAAACGAGAAAACAAAAATAAAAAAGGTGGAAAATAAAAAAATAACAAAAAAAAAAAAAAAAAAAAAAAAAAAAAAAAAAAAAAAAAAAAAAAAAAAAACAATGAGTGAAGTAGAAGATGGAGGTCGAAAAAAGCAGACGATATTTAAAGGGAAGAATTTAAAAATGAACAGGAGTGAAAAGAAAGAGAGAAGAAAGAAACAAAGAAGAAGACAAATAAAATAATGAAGAAAAAAAGAAAAAAGAATTAAAAAACTGAAGAAGAATAAAAAAATGAAAAACCAGAAGAAGAGAATGAATTGGCAAAAAAAGAAAAGTCAAGAGAAAAACAAAGTCAAAAGCAAAAAAATGTAATAAAATCGAAACCCAAAATGATTTTACTGAAATCTTTTAAAAACTAATGTTTCGTAAAGTTAAATTTTGTAAAAATATTGAAAAATCGACACAAAGTTTATTATTTTTGTTGAATCGCAACCCCCCCCACCAAAAAAAAAAAAAACAAATCAAAAAACAAAACCAAAAAACAAAACAAACAATTGTTTTTCAAAAGGAATTCTCTGGCAAGGGATAAATGCGTTCCTTTTCGGAACAGGTTTATTTTGGAGAGTCGATACTAAACAAAAGTAAAATAAAAGTAATGGTAATGACGAAAACAATTTAAAAAGGGGAGCACACACACACGCGCGCGCGTAAATACAACAGAAAAAAGAGAACGAATCAAGGAATGATGTTTTATCTAAGAAATTCGAAAAAGAAACAAAACAAACTTTTATGAAGAAAACATATTATTTGAGCTTAAAAGACGTTGAGGCTGAAGAATATCCTGCCATTTATTTATTCGACCACCATTCTCATTGTGATCATTGTCATGTAAAGGTATCTATTTTGTATTACAATGCATTGTATTGTAAAGTAAATGTATGAAAAAAAAAGACTTGTTCAAGAGTTGGTGGCTACTTGTATTTAATTAGCAGCATTATCAAACTAACCATTATTCTTAACAATTATACACGGATTCAGAATTATTATAGAAAGACAATATTTATGAAAACTAAAGTTTTCTGTTAAAAATCCAAAAATCAGCAGAACAAAAAGATGAAAGAAAGAAATTTATTGTAGAAATGTGAATGCTTATTGTAGAAATGATTGTGACAAAAGTTGTCATATCATTTGAGTTCAGACGATCTCTAAAATAAAATGAAAACAATTGTAAAACTTGATTTTTCGAGGTTGAGTTTGTTTTGATCGAGTCGCGTGCACTTTGTAAAAGCATAGCCTGAAAATCAATCGTTATTGGTGGAAGAATATTATACACCCACTTTATAAAGAAGCTGTCAAAATTTTTGTTAGAGACAATAAAAACTCAGTTTAAACAGTTTGATTAAAGAAACACATTTTAATGAAGATTTAAAGAAGATTCAGTGGAGGTACCTAAAAATTTAAACGATGTTTTTGCCTTACCTGTCAGAACTTTGTGGAAATAAAGAAATTAAGTCTTTAAGAAAAAGATAATGTAAAATTTCTGTGCTTTGATTTGGTTTTTAAATTGATTCATGGAGGAAAAGAAAAATATCTTCACATAGAAAAGTACAAAATTACTTGATGAATTATTATAAAAGATAAGTTTAAAAAATGTAAGGAAGTGAGTTAAATTAGTAAAACTTCTGGGTACATATATGTGTGTGTCTGTGCACGTATGCATATGTATGTATATTTATATGTTTGGACTTTGAAGATATAAAGAAAGTGGAGAGAAAGAAAGAAAGAAAGAGAGGCAGAGAAAGAATGAGGGAGAAAATGAACAGAGAGAGAGAGAGAGAGAGAGAGAGAGAGAGAGAGAGAGAGAGAGAGAGAGAGAGATGCTGCCTCTACAGTAGGTTCGTTAGCATATTTTGAAAAGAAGTGTGAAAGATACTCACTGCACTATGAGTTGGAGATAGCAACTAGCAGGCCAAATAATTGTACACGAGTGGGAGGAAGGCTTTTCCAGATGTCTCTTCACCGCTTGCCTCTAATTGGTCCTTGCTTGTGTAACTCCCTCTCTCTAACTAACACTGCTAGTGTGGGTGTGTTGGCATAGATGGGTTGAATGGTTGAAAAGTAAATAGAATGAGGGAGTAAGAGGCAATGAGATATAGAAAAAGTAGGAGAAAAAGAGAAGGGAGATAAAGAAAGAGAAGGTATCAGAAATAGAGAGAAAGAGAGCGAGGAGAGAGAGAGAACAGGAGAGATAACAGGAGGGAGAGTGCAACGGTGAAAGATCACAGACTAAAAATAAAGGCAAAAAAGAAAGAGTGTACGACTTGAGAGAAAGAACAGAAGATAAACGGCTGAGAAAAATGAAAAGGCGGGGAGAAAAAAAAGAAATACAAAGGTAATAAATTGAGAGAGAGAGAGAGAGAGAGAGAGAGAGAGAGAGAGAAAGAGAGAGAGAGAGAGAGAGAGAAGTCACTAACTCGCAGTTTTAAAATAAGACTGTAAAATAAGGAATATGTGAGTGAGAAAGAGTGAAAAAATAAATTCAGTGTGAAGCTATCGAGGGGGATGAGGAGATAGATAGATAGAGAGTGAAAGCATCAGTTGTGCGAGGAAGAAGGAAAGAGAAATGAGAGAAGTAGGAATCGAGTAGACTAAAAAGAAAGAAACTCAAAGATCAGAAAGAAGACGGTGGAAAATGAAATACGGAAAGAAATGGGCACCTGCTATTTTCTCTTCTTTAACGGCTGCTGCTATGTTGTGTTCCCTGATTTTGAGGGACACCTCCACAATTTGGTAAGAGGAACGAGCTGGCGACAGACAGACTGAAATTAACTCAAGAGACGTATTTTAAGCAATTGTTTTCACTGAGTGATGCAAAGACTTCAATATATTTACTTCAAGGAAATGCTGCATAAAATCTCAAGTCTGAACATCGACAACATGCAAACATGCACGCATGCAAGGTTTTGCTGTCTATTGAAACACTTGAGTCGTATTCACTGTTACGAAGCGTTATCACCTGTGCCACTCTGTCTATCTCCATGCACAATCCTCGACGACTCTCATAGATCCAAGTCTAGTCCACTATATATATATATATATATATATATATATATATATATATATATATATATATATAGAGAGAGAGAGAGAGAGAGAGAGAGAAGAGAGAGAGCGAGAGAGAGAGACGCACACGAACAAAAGCTTCGCCTGGTCTGACACAAAGTAATAAGTGTCGTGCTCTCAGTAAAGATTGAACTCATAACATAGTAGTAACACTCTTGCTCGACAAAGATTACATAATGGCGCCGCTCCCGGGAAAGATATTTAGAAAAATTAACCAAGTTAACGAGTTCACAATATTACAATATCGAGGCAACATTTAAGGATCCAACTCAATACAGTCGTTAAGAGTCCAACGGGACTAAATTGCTAAATTTCGTTTTAAATTAGAAACTCAGTATTTTTTTGGTTATTGGATCGAGTTCACAAACAGTTCACATTAATTCGCTCGCTACACACACACACACACACACACACACACACACACATATATATATATAGGCATACATACATGTACGTATCTATGTTCTGGTTACACATGTTCTTCTATGCATGATTCATGGATTAAAGATATTTTTCTTGTATAATGTCACATTTAGGCATTATTTTCCTACTTCTGTTTCAAAAGCGATCAAATCAGGACTTACACTTTATGTGTTGATATTTTAATTGATCAATCGATCACTTCCCGATCAATAATCGCACATGTGTCTACGGCAAGATAGCCTCATAGAGCCGATTTCTTTTTACCGAGGATAAAGTGTCCAGCTTGCCCTATTATTTATAAGAATTTGAATTCAGAGTTCTTCTCTCTGACTGGTTATGTTATAAAATCAAAAGCGACCCACCAGTTCTGCTATTTAACCTTAATCATAACGAGGAGAAGTGAACGAAATACATTCATTCAGAAGTTGAACATGGCATGTCAATTTCACTTTCCACGACAGTAAACGTTGCACTATCGATACATTCATCGATCAGTTATTCCCCATCGCCGTAATAAACGAAGTAATTATTTTTTTTGCAGTAAGTTTCACCCTGTACAATTCCCGTGAGCCACTCGAGGTAGATGGTTACGTTAAGGGGCAGTTTATAGAGGGAAGATAACGGTTAACTCTGGGCTTGAACAGGATAAGATTTTAGTGATCGGGGAAACATCTTCTAGGGAGTCTCTTCCAAAAATAGTGGTTACTTTGAGGAAGCTGTTCGAGTGAAATTTACGGAGGGAATGTGGGTGGGGTTTGCTACAATGTAAGTGGCATGGCGGGTCCTAGCCGTGAAGGTTAGATATGGTGGAACCAAGAAAGATAGTTCATCTGATCACTTTCCATGGAAGTAGAGATAGAGCAGTGAGAAACTCGCCACATTCCGCCTGTGAGAGAGAGAGGTTGAAGAGTGGAAAATAATTTATCATCTACAAGGAGACACCTTTGAACTCTGTCAAGACTGGAAAGTGAGGACCGAGCAGCTCATGCCCAAATATGGCAACAGTACTCCATTTTGAGCTTGATCTGGCTCTTGTAAAGGTAGAGAGAGGATAGCTTGAGGAGTCAAGTATTTACTGGAGAAGTAAAGAAAGCCGATCGTTTTATCTGCAATGGATCGTATGTACGAATTCCACTTGGGGCCCAATATTCTCCCAATGCACGGTGCTTTCTTGAGGGGATATCCGTTTAGCACACTGTTACAAAATGAGTAGGTTGGCCTCAAATAGCAAACTACCATCGTACTTGTCAGAAATCTGATAATCCGTGGAATTCTGACAGTAATGAATTGTCTTTGTTTAAGCTTTAATATAATAATAATAATAATAATAAAACCGCGCGAAGACAGGCAGATATAGGAAAGATATAAACTCAAAGTGATTGTAGCACAACGTTGGAACTGGTGAAAAAAATGAACTAAGACTTTATAACAATCATAAAAGAAATTGAAAACATTGATGAGCTAAAAACATAAAAATGCCATGAAGAATATCATAAAAACAATAAAATAGGTAAAGAGAGAAAAGTCGATTGACATGCAATAAAAATATGAAGCCGCTAGTTTTCTGAATGTAAACAGAGAGAAAAGAAGCAGATTATGAAGAATATTGGTTAAAGACATGAAAGCAACCAAACTATCACCTTTACATCAGAAAGAAGTATATGAAAATTGGTTTTTCAACGTTTTTAACGAAAACTCTAGAGCTACATTAGATGTCTCTGTTGTTTAGAATAGAGATTGGGTTCCTCATAGAAGAAGTCAACTAACATGACTTAGAAGACAATAGAGGGGAGGTGGAGTAATATTTTGGGTTAGTATTGTAGTCAACAACACTTTTGAGTTTCAGCTTATAATATCAATCGTTGTTTCGTGATGTCAGGTTTAATTTTGTAAACATAATATCTGCACCGTATTAGCGGATTAAAGTTGCTCAGGATTGGTTTGAGTCTCAATTCTGAAGATATGAGACGATTGGTGTGGCCATTCAAGTATTTATAGGATCTGATGGAAAGGCCTGCTTACACGCAAAATCCTGTCTTAAATATCACTTAGTTGTGAACAGCGGTCGAGATAACATGGATCAGCATCTCTTCAGCGATCATACGAACACTTTTGGAATCGATACCACATCAACATACTGCAAACTGCTGGGCTAAAAGAGATCCTCCAAGTTACTAATCACAATTTCTATTGAATAGGCATGTTAGTGTATTACTCATATAAATATAATTATAGTAGGAAAGTTTTATCATTATAGGTTAGTTAATACAATTTCATTCTTACATAATAAAATCTAACATTGAGTAAAGGAATTAAGAGATTTTAAAAGAATAAAGCGTGTGTCTAAAGGCCGCTTATACTTAGAATCAGTACGAGACAACTGAAATTTATCTGGCATATAATGAGGATAGAATGCTTGGAGAATTTGACACTCACAGGACATATTGAAGGGAGAGGGGGTAAGAGGAAATCAACGAATAACATGTCTAACGAGTTTATGTAAATGGTTGGCAGATAAGAGATTAGGAGAGATAACAAAAAGACAAATCTTACCAAGCGCTACAAAGGACAGGAAGTTATGGAGAGCTATGATCACCCACATCATGAAGGGAAACAACACATGCAAGAAGTCTAAAGAGAAAACGGTGGAAAACGTTTTTAATTATATAGATTTATGGATATCTTTATTAATTATTTATTTAAAATATATTTTTTCATTTGAAGAAATAATTCTGTGGCCTTGTGTCAAACATCGGAGGAGAATTTAGTGTTTTTCAAACGCGCCCGGAAAAGATAACCTGGTTGGAAAAAAAATGTTTATTTAGAGTGCATGTACCCGTTCACTTGTTTTAAATGCGTTCTGCTCTAAATAAAAGTCAACCAGAAGCAACAATAGTAAGAAAAGTCAAAGAAAAGGAAATTTCGTAATATTGACTGCAAATGCCTGTTTCTGTTGACTGTCAAGTCTGAACACGTGTTTCTCTTCAGGCTTCATTGATGATTGCATTTTTACAATTGCAAACAATTTCCTTTTCAATGTTATTGGTGAATGTTTACGCAGGGTAACTCGCATTTAAATTAACTACGTACGAACGATTTATTTTTATTTAAGCTTCTTTGCTTTGAAAACGACAGATTGGCTTTTAGTTTTATATAAATATAGAAGGCAAATGTATAAAGTATAAAACGCTTACACACACACACAGTCTTTCTTTCTTTCTCTCTGTCTCTCACACACACAGTCTTTCTCTCTCTCTCTCTTTCTCTCTCTCTCTCTCTCTCACACACACACACACACATATATATATTGAGAGTTTTTTCTTAAAAAATAATTCATGCTTAAACAAAAATATAAGCATAAAAATAATTAAACCAATGAAGCTAAAAAGTGATTTTCATTTGAATCTGGCAAAATCGATTTGCCGAACTTTTTACCTGACTGTGAAAGAATACCAGATCGATGATTTGTTTGTAACAATATTGAACCTCCGCCCCATTTCCTCCCCGAAAGATTTTCAATAAAGCTTTTCTCTGCGAAAGTAAAGGTAGCATTCTCATGACTGGGAAATTATTTAATACGGTTTGTTGCTTAAGTTAAATGAAACAAAAAAAATAAAGATAATGGTATTTACAAATTCCAATGGATAGAATTTATTGATTAAGCAACGTCGAGCCCGATCATTGCTTAGATGAGTGACCGCTTGGGAATAGCAGGTGCTATAAGCTTGAATATGCCAGTGGTGTAATGGATAATGGCTCGAAATTGTTATTCGGAGAGATGAGTTCCAATTCCAATTGGTTTCGTTGTATTCACTTACGCGTAAATACACTTGGGAAAGGTATGAATCTATCTCTTGTTCTCCCAGCCATGGGTTAATTAGTAAGACTTGTATCCACTAAACCATTATTATCTCCCGCTCCCCAAAATCTAATCAATCTAAAAATATTTTCAGGCTTTAAATAACCTACGAGGGGTTGATAAGCCGTAGAAAACGAATTAATTAATGTTGATACATCTGGTAAAAATGAAAGTGAGAGAATAAGTGTGTGTGCGTGTGAGAGAGAGAGAGAGAGAGAGAGAGAGAATAAAGAGGAGAGTTTGGTTTGGAAAACTATAGTTTTCAGATGATAAAATGTATTCTTTTTAGGAACAAGTATTTTATCCTCACCATACTGATTTTCGACCGCCCAACTTACGTGTTGGTTTTACTTGAACTGATAATTATAATTTATAAAATATATTAAAAAACAAAATGGATTACGAAGTACCAGGATGTATGTCACATTGGAGGAGATAACAAAACAACTGTGACACACTGGAGGATTTAACAAAAATGTAAAGAAAAGCAAAAACAAAAAATAAAACAAATTAATACCAACAAGACAGGAATGAGACGTGCTTTGCCCTCTTCGTCACATATTTGAAGAGAAAGCCTTACAAAGAACCATATTCCATTTTGCTTCCAAGCATTCCTCAAATATTTCTAACCGAAACTAGTGTTCATTTTCGTGTAATTTTAGGTAAAGTAAAAGGATTTCATGGGAAATAAAAAGAGAGAACACTTTTATCCCAAGTATTATGAATGGCACAAACGAAAAACACAATCCTTTTACTCCGGTGGGAAATTTCAAAGAAATTTACATTTTTTAAATGACAATAATAATAATAATAATAATAATAATAATAATAATAATAATACAGAATGCAAAACTTACAAAACCAACTTGTAAGAAAATTTCTTTTATGTGCCAAACAATCAGGCAAGATAACAATTTCTCAATACGATTCTATTGGGGTTATAAAAACAATTATAATTATTATCAGCAAAATATTCGCTTTCTTTGATTCATTCGACTGTCAAATGGAACAATGGACGGTGGAGATTCATAAGCGTCAACGGGTTTCTTTTAGATAATAGTTTAGTTCTACAAACTGAGATTCAAAAATGAGATAAATATCGTATTTTCATAAAAAGTTCAAAATCAGGTTTAGTAACTCTAATTTTTATGACAAACTTTCACAAATAACTATAAAAAGATAATCGTACATCTCTTACAATTCGTAGAATCTTCTTTCTGCTTTATTTTCTTTTTTCTTTTCTTTTTCTTGTTACTTTCTTTTCGTTAACGGTGTCGTCATCGTCATTAACATTAGTTTTTCTTTGTTTAGTTTCCAGAAATAACCACGGTCATTCGCATGTGAAAACTGTCAGACAAACTATACTTTGTAAATAAGGGGATGACGCCCACCTTTATCAACAGCACAAAAGTGGGCATCTGAATTTAAGAGGGGAAGAGAGAGTCTTGAAGATGACTCCAAGGTCTGGAGGTCCTGCAACTGCCACCACCGAGGAATTCATTGATCGTGTTCACTTCATAGTGATGGATGACAGTCGATCGACTATAAATTAAATAGACAATGCTATATCTCGATAAAGTCGAGAATATTCTGCACAAGGAATTTGGCATAACAAAGGCTTCTGCTCCATGGGTGCCACGACTTCTGATATCTGATTAAAAGCGCACCAGGCTGATCACATCACAAGAAAACCTGACATTGTTTGAAAGGTTTCCTTGAAAGTTTTCTAACTCAGGATGAGCATTGGGTTTATCACTTTGAACCAGAGACAAAGAAACAATCCATGCAGTGAAATCACCCCTCCTCTCCAAAGAAGGCTAAGGTTGTTTCCTTTGCAGGGAAGTTAGATTCTGATTTTTGGGATGCAAAAAGCATTTTGTTTGAGATTCGGTTAAAATATTTTGAAAAATTGGGTTATGTGAAAGTAAGGAAGTTTTACCAAAATATATTGAATAAAGTCTGTTGAAATTACGCAGCGAAAAATAATTAAAGGAAGGAGTATTTCCCCTCCTCAGATGATTTCTGTCGCTTGATTAAATTCTCCATAAAATGCGAACTGCAAGAGAGTTCGTCCCATTTCGGTCTAGAATGACATTTCTTTTTTAAGCGTTTCACCCCAAGCAAGGCGAGAAGTCACTAGGACGCAAGGGGTTACAGAAAATTTAGAGCAATATCAGATAGGAGTGATAGAAGAAAGGACGAGGAGAAGGGTAGTGGATAGATCAAGGAAACTGGAGATGTCGATTGACATTACATTTGAATAGCTGGAGATTATAGCTCTCAGGGAAACTGGAATAGGGAAGGGAGTTCCACAGGCGAGAGGTGCGAGACATGAAACTATTGGGGTAGAAGAGACGGCTACATTTAGGAGTTTCGACAGTGAAGGGGTGAGAGCGGGATGCCAGCCTCGTCGGGCGCTTGAACTCATGAAGTCTGGGAACCAGCGAATGCAGCTCCTCGGAGCAATTGCCATGAAAGTATTTGTAAAACAAACAGAGAGAGGGGACGGTGCGTCTGTGAGAAAGTGACTGTAGACGAGATGCCAAATCAGGGCCAATTATGTTGCATATCTGCCTCTGGAGCCTATCAAGAACACCGAGACAAACAGAAGGGGCTTCAGACCATATATGGCAGCAATACTCCATGCAAGGGCGAATTGTTGATTTGTAGATCTGGTGGATCGATTACGGGGAGAAAAATTTCCTGGCGCAGCACAGGGGGCCAACTTGCCTTGTGGTGGACGAAGCAATTCACTCAATGTATTTGTTCAATCTCAGGTTAGCAGTCAACGTGAGACCGAGCAGCCGCAGGGAGGTACTCTCGAGAAGTTGAGCGTCAGACATTCTAATGGAGGGCAGGGAAGGATCTCTGTGGTGATTAATAGAGAGCAGTTTTGTTTTTGAAGCATTAAAGTTGACCAGCCAATTCCTGCCCCAGTTCACAACCGATTGGAGGTCCTTTTCGAGACGCACGGCCAGGTTAGTTTTGTCAGTGACAATAGATTTGTTTTTGAGGCAGGAATAAATTGTGGTGTCATCCGCGTAGATGCCAACTTGGGAATTTATGGCGTCAGGAAGGTCATTTATGTAGATAAGGAATAGAGTGGGGCCTAGGATGGAGCCTTGAGGAACAACTGCGTTCGTGGGATAGGAGCTGGAGGAGAATCCGTTGAGAACGACCTTCAATTCACGGTTTGACAGGAATGATTGTATTAGGTCAAACAATCGACCCGTAATGCCATAACCCTGGAGCTTGCGAAGAAGGCCGGCATGCCAAACCCTATCAAATGTTTTGGAGATGTCTAGGGCCACGGCACGAGCTTCCCCGTTATTTTGAAGAGCTCGGTAGACAGTTTCAGTGATGGCCATAAGCACATCAGCTGTGGATCGGACAAAGCGGAAGCCATATTGCTTGTCTGAGAGCAGATCATGGCATGTGAGGTGGTTAACCACCTCTGTATTGATTAGGGCGTCGAAGACTTTGTCGAAGAAGGGTAGGAGACTGATAGGACGGTAGTTAGAAGGGTCAGAGGGATCGCGAGAGTTATTGAAGACAGGAAGAACCGAAGAAGACTTCCAGCAGTCAGGAAAACAAGATTCCTTGAGGCAGTAGTTGTATAGATTAGAAAGGGCGGGCGCCAATTCAGGCATTTCTTCAAGACAATGGCTGGTATCCCATCTCCACCACTCGCCTTGTAGTGTCTAAATTGGAGATAACGCCCAATACCAATGACGGGGTTATGTGTAACCCACTCAATAGGGCTTCAGAACATAAGCAGGAAGAATGTCTTACAATGGATATCTTTCACCGATGAAGAATAATAGAAAATTCACACCTACCTATCTAGCAAGGAATACAAATGAAGAATATATAAGAGAAAAATAACAAGAAAATGTAGCAGCACATAAGATAAGAATAAAAAAAGAGGCTATTGCTTTAGAAGAGCGAAAAAGAAATAATAAAAAAAGAGAAAGAGATTTCTAGTATCAACACAGATGGCCAGGCGGGAATAAAAGTACACGGAAGTAATTATAAACGACAAACGAAGAAAATCACGTGGTTAACAAAAGGCGGGAATAAAGAGTCTGGACGAATTAAAATGAAAAACAAGTGAAAACAGTAAAGAGAAGTAAAAAGTGGAAGAATATGAAAGTAAGAAAATAAGGATACAAGGAAAATAATCGCAAAATGTAAATGTCTAATTGGATTCACTTGATTTCAAGAAGATAAAGATTTAAGTAATTTTAGCTAAGCTTATATACATGTATTCAGATCAGCCGTAAAACAATTCCTTCCTAAAAGTAGCAGTTGCTGAGTTTTCTCCAATCGTGTCGAACGGTTGTAGTGTCAATGAGATTCCTTGCCTGGAACGTCTGTTGGGACAAAAACTCAATTCAGACGTCAAGTAGAACTTGTTTATACGATTCATGGCAAAAGAGGCTGGAGAAAATGGTCGGTTCCATGTACATCTCCAGAAAGTATCTGATTCCTCTTGATACGCTTTATCTGTTAGAGAGCCAGATCAGACAAAAAACGGAGAATTTCTGCTACATCTGTATCGGAGCTGCCTGATCCTCACTTTCTAATCATGACCGAGTTGAAAAGCGTTTACGCGGCCTTGTGGGTAATTTCTTGGTTCCACAAGTCAAGACCAGACCTTCACAACTAGGACCGACTAGTCCACGTACTCTGAATCAACCCATCCTCATTTTCTTCATATTCCATTGATTAGGAGGAAGTTCCATACGGAAAGCTTCACCCCAGCAGTATTGTTTCAATGTGGAACAGATTCCTGAGGAGATGCTTCCCCGATCACTACAGTCTTAAATTTTTGAAGTCGAGGCCAACCGGTATATATCCTACATATTTTCATAATATGCAACCCTTGCTTCCTCCCGGTAGGCCCTTACTGCATTCCCATTGTGAATCTCTCTACCTTGAGTAGCTCTCAGGACTTGTATTCGGTAAAGAAGAGTTAAAATACCGTGAGATTAATGTTTTTTTATAACATTTCAGTTGTCTCTGTTTATTCCAACTCGCATATGATTTTCTCTTTGAAGTGTTCTTGTGTTGCAATATATCATATCCTCATCATCCACATCACAGGCGTTCAAAGGACTGAGTGAAATATTTCATCGTGATGATCATCATCATCCTCATCATTTACATAGATGACTAAGCAGCTGAGGGAGAATGTGTCACTAATGGAAGGCGTCGACAGTAAATCAAAGTGAAGGAACAAATCACATTAAATCCCAAGGACAAAAAAAAAAAAAAAAAAAAAAATTCAACTCCAAATTGCAATAACAAAGAAGCAAACAATATTTCCGATCAACATCAACGAAATTGTAAGCATTCCATTTGGAAGAAAAGCGACAGCAAATCCAAGAAAACTTAAACGACAAATCATAAATCAAGTGTCGAATAATAATGAACGTTTTCAGGCAATATTTTTTCAGTTTTTCTCTAGTTTTCATTTTGAAGCTCGTTCCGAAATGTGGTTGCCTTCGTATTTTCTCAGTCCAGCGGTAGTCATTAATTCGCACGTATCGTATTCGATATCTACTTGCCCCCCCTCCCCGCAATCCGGATGGGGCACAAAATCAGTCTAATGACGGTAGCCCGAATGCATTCACCCAGACCAGATCAAAAAATAGTCCCCAGCCCCGACCCCGAAATCATCGGTTGCGCTGGCATCAGTATTACTACCGACCTCCCGAATGCAATGAGGAAGCTACTACTGCGGACCGCTTTTCCCCCAGGGACGGGGGGTCCTCTCAATTTATTTTGGTAACGCTTTGCTTGAAGAAAAAGACACAACTAAGTTGCGACCTGTCCGAAGACAGAGATACAACCAAGAGATGATGAACAAGATACGATACACAGAATCTCGCAAGACTCACGTATCGTATTCTGCCCTTACCCTTGCTACTTGGGCACCTCTATAGTCTCTATTCCTTCTTCTTGGATCGCCACCTTGCCATGGTGAAAAAGCCATCGGAAGCTTTAGCTTCTGGTAGGGCAACCCGATGCAATGTCGAATATGAGGGACCAAACAAAGAACGATACAACCTATAAGACCTCAACAGCCGGCCAGGCGGAAGAAATGACCAAACCTAACGGCTTTGAAGGCGCATGAAGGCTGCAACAAATTCTTCAACATCAATCGTTTTGGTCACCTTGCCATTGAATGCCGTTGGTCGATTTGTAAAGAATTTTGTGCTTTCTGGAGTGCAAGTAGACGTTGTACAAACACATGCACAGGTACCGGTAGAAAACTTCCAAGTTTTGTGGCGATCGGGGAAGGGCAACAGAAGCAGGCAAGTGACAGCTGGAAGTTCTTGTTCAGTAACTGACACACAAGTGGTGCCCTAAAAATAGTCTACTTCACCTACATCTGTTTGTAAAACCGTGTTCAGAGGATACACCCTCATGCGGTCAAAATACCTCAAGAACCAGTAATTTGGAGCATTGAATACTCGAACCCTAATAGATAAGTCAGATAGATCAGAAGGAAGAACAGAGCTTGTTGCTCGAGAACTGAACAAGTTCAATTTTGACGTTGTCGTTCGGGTGAAACTTGCAGAGCTGGAGAAGGGCAAGTTATAGAAGAGCAAGACCAGTACACTTTCTTCTGGAAAGAACTTGATTATAAACAACCAAGAATCCATGGACTAGGCTTAGCCATCCGAAATTATCTCCTTCGAAAACTGAGAGAACTACCATGACTATCAGACACCATATTGGCAAAAATCAGCATGCCATCATTATCAAAATCTATGCACCAATTTTGGATGCTGAATATGATATCAAAGAAGACTTCTATTCTAAACTTGATAACATCTCCTCTACTCGCAAGAAAGTCAAGATTGTCTGTTCAGGAGACTTCAGTGACAAATTTGTGAAAAATCACAGACTATGGAATAGAGCAATAGGTAAGGAAAAAGTTGGCAATATCAACGCTAATGAAACTCACCTTTTCCCTAAATGTACCTGGTGATCACTAACACCTTGAACAGATGCAAAGACTCCTGGTAAAATTTGCGCTCCAAGCATTAGCACTTGATTAACTATATCATCTTTCGATCCTGTGATCAACAAGATGTACACAAAACGAAAGCGCCCTCACTCGTGCCGATGAATGCTGGATAGACCATCGCGTCTCATAGAAATGAAGATCAAGCCCAAAAGAAAACATAAAAAACAAGCGATAGATGTACTATCTGAACAGCTACCATCACCCACTGAAGATAACTGGGAACATCTGAACGTTATCATCATGTCCTGTAAAGACACCCTTGGATTCAAGACATGGAGAAATCAAGATTGGGTTGATGACAATGATGGACCACTACAACAACTAATTACCAAGAAAAGACATTAACTTGCAAAATTATAAACAGTCTGCTACAAAAAGGACGTTATACCAACAGGCAAAAGCAGAAGGTCAGAAGACCAATTAAAACCTGAAAAATCAATGGCTGAGAGAAAAAGCCGTCGAAATTCAATAACTCACAAATCCCCATGATATTTGTGTCTTCTTCAATGTTCAAGCTCCTCTCAAAGTAAAAATGGATCGACAATACTGTAGAGCAACACTGACATTAATGCTGGTGAAGCAAACCGTCAACTTTGATAGAGACATCATCATGATGACCCTAAATAAACTACCAGCACTTGAAGTCAAGGAAGCCATCAAATCTATGAAGAAAACGAAAGTCTGTGGACTAGATAGAATTCCAACAGAACTCTTCAAATATGGAGGCGATTTTCCTCAACACCAACTGCATCAACTCATTTGAAAATCTGACAAATACTAATCTATGAATCACCATCTATAAGAACAAAGGAAACCAGATCGGCCTGCGAAAATTATCTCGGAATCTCTCTACTCTCAATAACTGGAAATTTACATATCACTATAAACTTAATTTTTTTCAATCTTAATGTTTTGCAACGCTTGTGTTTCGCAGATTTTAAATTTACAACCCTTCATAGTAATCAGTGTAAATCGTAGAAATCGTTCCTAGGGTGTAATTCGACACTATTAGGTATCAAGGCTTTTTTTCTCTCTTTCTTCCTCAATACTTACTTTACAGCTTGTTCTCACTTTGGTAAAAATATATTCTAACCTCAAAGCCAAGTTTGACTTCAGAACAACATTGAAGAGCAACACAGAAATATCTAACGCAGAATCACATGTAAAGGTTGTCCTTTGTTGACATCTATTTGGCAAAGTTGATACGTAGACTTAGACGTCGGCAGGAATTTATATCGACACACTTTCAAGAAATTACTACCTGTGTATGAAATATAAAAGGCGGCATGTAAATCCAACTTTTTTTTATTGTCGACGGTGAAAAAAAATCAAGTATTTAAATTGGTGTATGCTTGAAATTTACAAAGCTTTCAATTTAATACTGCCCAATTTCAAATTTTTGTAATCTTCATAAAATATGAAAATGTAATTTGTAACAAAGGATACTTCTTTTATTAAACTGATTTCTAAAAACTTAACAATTTTGTAGCAATGTGTCATTTGAGTTTTTCATTAGTTCGTGAATTGCAACTAGATTGTTTACATTCCGTGAGATAAGACGCGTCTGGTTCCTGCTAATAATGAATTATTCAGAAAGACCACGAAACGATTATCAATGTAAATACGACGAGATGACCTTGATAATTTTGTCTTTCCAATTTCAATTTGTTAAACGGCGGTCGAAAGACAAAATATATACAACGTCAATTTGTTGAGATTACGTTCTCCGCGGGATGGAATTATTTATTTGCAAGTTTTATGATTTTGGGAGGAAAATCTTTGCTGCATTGAAATTATTTTTTGCTTAAGTAAACCAAACACGGAAGATTGGATGCGTAGATATAAATGTGAAATGATGGCGAAAAATGTAGGGAAAAATGAAATGAGAAAACAAACAAGCTATCAAGCAGATATTGGAAGGTATTAAGAAGTAGAGAAAAAAGAAGAGAAAAGGAGGAGGAGTAGAAGAGGGAGAAGCAGTGAAGGGAGAAGAAGAAGAAGAAGAAGAAGAAGAAGAAAAAGAAGAAGAAGAAGAAGAACTAAGAGGTTGGCGACTAAGAGGGCGGAGAATAAATAGGAGAGAAAAGTAAGAGAGAAGCGTAAGAATATGAAAGAAATGCTAAAGGAGAAGAAGTAGGATAAGTAGGTAAGAAACTATATGGAAGAAGAAGAAGAAGAAGAAGAAGAAGAAGAAGAAGAAGAAGAAGAAGAAGAAGAAGAAGAAGAAGAAGAAAATACAGAAGAAGAAAAGAAGAAAAAGGACGACGGAGAAGGACAGAAAGAAAGCGAGGAAGTAGTAGTAGTAGTAGTAGTAGTAAAAAAAGAAAATTAGAAGAACGAGAAGAGGAGGATGAAGACTAGGAAGAAGGAGGAAGATGGAGAGAAGAAAAAGAAAGGATGAAGAGAGGGTTGGATCAAGATTGAAAGGAAATACAATCACAAGCCTTGTGTTTCTTTCGCTTGCGTTATAATCGAGGCCCAGCGTAAAGAAGCAAAATAACTCCTAAGCCAGGAACCAAAGAAGCCGAAAATGGGAAGCGCGTAATCATCGATGAAAAGATTAAAATGAAGAACAAAATGAAAAGCAACTAAACATTGAGACAAAATGGCCGCAGGGAAAGAGGCATAAATGCAAATGGAAATAGCAAAAATAGAAAAAGTTTTGCCTTTCTCAGGAATTAGTTTTTCTTTTTGCAGGGGACATTTTGGCATATATACTCATATGCACACGCATGCAAACGGCGTGTACACGTGAATACAGACAGACTTTGAAAATAAACGCCAAAATTCCATCGTTGTTTTTTTTTTATTATTAATTATAAATGACGTTGTCTGATCATTCAAAAGCAAATTTATGAAGATCCCTTCAGGGGTAGTTTCACCGTAGAGCAATGGTTAACACATTTCCACTTTATTTAGTCAATCGTCATCTTTGTGTTGTAGAGATTATTTAACTTTTTACTAATGACACAATTTCTTTTCTGTGGCTAAACAAATAATATGAAGAAGCAATTTTCTAAAGTCACCCTTTACCCGATTCATGACCCCCCCCCCAAAAAAAAGAGAGAACAGGAAAACACGTAGCAAAAGTTGCTACCGGAAAAGAATCGTTTAGCGTCGTGAGATTCTGGAAAATATTTTACCAGACGATAATATGCAGGTAGCATCTGGATTTCTGAAACCAGACATTGTTAGTATTACACATTTTCTTTCCGGGAGATCGCCTTCAGATCAACGTGTGCTCACCTGCCTTCCTCAATTTGCGGATCAAATTCGATAATCCTGCAATTTTACCGAATATGAATGACCAGCACAGTCGAAATCCCGAACGAACGAACACACACACACACACACACACACACACACACACACACACACACACACACACACACACACACACACACACACTTTAGGACCTGTCTTCTAATTTTCGCTTGGTAAAAAACTACTGTATACATTCAGTGCTTAACGTGCTTTTACCAGATCTGCATCGAAGTCGTCCAAAATCTCCAAAGAACAGTTCCGTGTTACTAGCAATTCCAAATGGTATTTTCATTTTTACAAAAGCTCCAAGTAACCGACTAACTTGAAACTTTTAAATTCAGGATATTTCCGAGAACGTGTTTGTTTAAATTTGTGCAGAACTTGAATTAATTTTCATTCTAAATGCGCAGAGAGATGTCGCTATCATTTAACAACTAAAACTTTAGATTCTAATAAGTATTTTATATATCAATAAAACATGAATTGTATATTACTGTGAAAAATGATGTTATTTTAATTTTATATTTAAACGAATATTATAAAGGATATAATAAAAGGAAAGCTAGTAAAAAGATAAAAGGATACATACATATATACACCCCAACTAATAAGTATTTTATATATCAATAAAACATGAATTGTATATTACTGTGAAAAATGATGTTATTTTAATTTTATATTTAAACGAATATTATAAAGGATATAATAAAAGGAAAGCTAGTAAAAAGATAAAAGGATACATACATATATACACCCCAACGTCCACACTTATATATATATATATATATATATATATATATATATAGTATACTACCTGACATGGGTTTATGGCTACATTTTCAACTCTAGAATCTCCAAGAGACATGGATTAAAGCCTTGGTTCCCCTGGCAGTTCTGAGTACAATCTCAGTCTCTGGCAGTTCTAAAACGTCAAATACATTGGTTCACTTGAAAAAAATATGTATATGTATAACACAAATAGAATGGGAACAATCTACCCTAGTGGATTGAATAAAGGACTCGGCTCGACATTCCGAGGAGGTCAACGATTGCGAAAATAAATACTAAAAGATCGGAGCGTACAACGATCTTAAAACGTTTATAGCAAAACAACCAAGATGAAAATGCATACTATGAATTAGAATGATATAATTAGTTTGACAGGATTAGTTCTTTATTTTGTTGTAGATAAACACGAAATGTGTCAAAAAATCCCATAAATATGTTTTGATGTTGGAATATCGAGAAAACTGATTTTATAAATTTTGCAAGCAATTCCGGCAATGTTTTTTTTATTTTCTGTTAATTATGGACGACGCAATATCTATCGCCTGATCCATTTGATCGCGAAATCATCAGAAGTGTAACATAATTGTTATTGCTTAACATTTTAAAATGAAGTATTTACCCCCATTATTTGGATCATGTTTGTAAGAAGGGGGTGATATTGGCTTGAATCATTTCAGGAATGGTGACTTGTTCTCGTTATTGATTGCTTTAGTTTGTTTGCATTGATCTCTCGTCTGTTCAATACAATTAATGAAACCAATTAAATATTGCTAATACTTACGGACATAATTGATTCGCTCAACTTAATTTTAAATAATGAATTTCATTCCATTGAACATTTAATCATGTTTCCATAGAGTTTGCCTTGTAAGAAAAGGTGATGCCAATATTGTTGGTTGCAAGTAGAAGAAATCTATCGAGTATTATTCAGTTTGGTTTACCTTCCAGTCATTTTGCACACAATAATAGAAGCAAATGTGTTGATTATTTCTTTTTTAATTCTTATTGTTTATTGAGTTTTACTTCTATTCTCTTCTTCACTGGATACATAACCCAAGCTTCAGGGATAGTTTCTAGTCATATATGTTTGCTTTGAGTATATGTAGATATTTGTATCTGCTTATGTATAAGCGTGTGTATTCCGATAGGTATTTATATTACATACAGATGTGCGTTTGTGTGTACGTAAGTTATTGTTTAATTCTAAGAGGTGCAAAATATATTGTGTGGATGAAAAGATCTGTTCTGAAAGTGAACACAGTTTCTCGATTGCAGCAAACACCATCACTGAAAATTTGGTTCAGATGAGAGATTAATCAAACATACATGATGCTAGCAAAATGACTGGTCAGGATATAAGCTATTACCGATGAGTTGCAGGCTTTTCTGCAGTCGATACAAATTTGGACATGTCTTTATTTCATTGAGCATACAATTACTGCACCACAAACAGCGTTATTCAGTGGGGAACGGTACTGCCCAGAAAAGACCATTTGCAGTGGGCTTAATATCAATTTCACTTTAAAACATTGATTTGCATAAAAGAATATGAGATAACACGCACACACACACACACACACATATGTATATATCTATGATAGAATAGAGTTTTAAGACAAATTTATGGGTAAAGTGCTCAATATTAGGGATAGAACGTATGTACATATAAAAGTCGACAATAAAGTCAACATCTAGTGGTGGAAGACTATCGGCGCTCAGTTTTGACATCAGTTTCCACTTATATATATATATATATATATATATATATATATATATATATATATATATAAAAAAAAAGGATTAAACACTAATACTCCATGGTATTAGTGTTTAAGTCTTTTTATTATATCCTTACTCTGTCCTGGACATTGAGTTCTACCTGGATTCTTCCTCTTGGAATTTTTATTAAAAAAATATACATGTATGGGTATTTATATATTTTGCATATGTATGTAAATTTTTACCACTAATATTATCTATCTATCTATCTATCTATCTATCTATCTATCTATCTATCTATATATATATATATATATATATGATAAAATATTTATTTAATCTTTTATCTGAATTTCTTGAGGTTTCCCCTATGCATTTTTTGTGGCAATCATTACTGGGTGATAGAGTAAATATCCCTTTCAAGTTTTAGTTTATTTTTTTGTTTTGTATTAATTAAGTATTTTTCTTATTGTTTTAGAACTGGGTGCAACGAATTTTATGTTGAGTTCAGATAAATTCTTTTCAAATGTAGTTGTGATAGGGTAAGTCTGTAGAACAATATAGTTTGATACATTGGGTTTGTCAGAGTGGTCCAATTTTCTATATTTAAATATTTTATAAAAAAAGGATCTTTTTTTAAAAAAAAGAACAGAATAAATGCATTAGTTGCTCGCCATAAGGAGTCTGACTATAATTTGGATTTAAAAAAATGCTAGTTTTGTTAAAAGAGAAAGTAATTTAGTAAGACAAAAATGTTTATAAAATGCTTTAATCACGAGACAAATGCAATTTTTTTTTAATTTGTAGGTCTGATGAATTGGATCGTGATTACGATTCCAATGTAATAAATTACAGCCAAGCAATATTAGTGTTTGAGCCTTTTATATTATATTCTTGCTGTCCTGGTCATTGAGCTCTATCTGGATTCTTGTAAATTTATATATATATATATACATATATATATTGACCACTAATATATATATATATATATATATATATATATATATATATATATATATATATATATATATATCTGTATGTGTGTGTGTGTGTGTGTAAAGAAAACGGTATGCTATCTTCACCCGGTGCCCTTGAAAAAGCACCGGGTGAACACAGCATACTTGCAGATATCATCAAATGCGGTAAGCCAGTTTTACTCAAACCATTTCATAGTCATCTATTGGTGAGGAGGCAAAGTTCCTCAGGGCATACGCAATGCCAGCATAATTATTCTGTATAAAAAGAACAGCGACCCGCAGTGACTGTAATAACTACCTGTTAAGCATTGTTGGAACACTCTTTGCCCGAGTAGATTTAACGCAACTACAAGTCTAAATCCAAGAATCCAGAATTCCAATGTGAATTCCTGGCTAAGAGATCCACAGTTGGAATTATCTTCTCTCTACGCTAGCCGCATGAAAAATGTTGTGATCAACAGATATCACTCTACATCACATTCATCAATCTCTCAAAAGTGTCCGAATTTGTTAGCATGGAAAGGTTCTGATTCAGTTATGCATATATATATATATATATATATATATATATATATATATATATATATATATATATATATATATATATATGAAAAATAAGGTATGTTATATTTATGGGTTAAAGTGCTCAATATCAGGGATAGAGCGTATGTGAATATAAACATGGATATTGAAATCAACACCAGCATTTCATGCTTAAAGGCAATCTTCCGGATTTTTCGAGTGAACCTTCACAAAAGGCAATGTCAAGCAAAGAGACATGCAAAGAATCTGCAACAATATCAATACATCACATACTTTTCAAGAAGACTCTATATTCACTATGTTCTTGTGAAGCATAATTACAGAATTGTCCGATGCACATCACTCTGCTGACAGGTTGGGTGCATTTGATACTCTCCACGAATGTCTACTCGAAAGAAAGAGAAACGTGATTTGTTCTTAGCAGTCATTCACGTCCTACTGGCAAATTCCTATTATTCAGATGAAGGTCAATAACCGATCTTAAGAATGTTGTTAGTCAACAATGGTTATTTGGATCAAGTGTGGGTATGTGTAGCATTCTCGTGCCGTTGATAAGAATTCACATATTCCTCGTATAGCCTTTACCATTGTTGACCGAGAAAAAATTGCAGCATTTTTTACCGAAGATCTTTCTCTTGAATATCTTTTTGTTTTTTCTGTAGATTATTTGGTTCAAATATCCTAGCTCACGTTTATGTATATAAATTGTGCAAATTAAAACAACCGCTTTAGTTTTCTTTCTTTCACTATACGGTCAGTTTTAGACCCACTGGAGTGATAGTTTTTGTTTTTTCGTCTCATTAGGTCATTTGCAGTGGTGTACAGTAATATGAATCGATTTTCAGAGTATATAATGAAATTTGTTTGGCCTTGAAAAATATTGCGTCATCAGTGATTGCATCAGATTTTCATCATGTCCAGACACTATTGTCTCGATTAACGAGTAGTTGTCCTACGGCCTTTGTCTCCAAGTCTCCAAGGAAGCGAACACACGAACACACTGGCAAGCCTTACCAGTGAGTAAATCTAAGTACTATATACTGGCCCGGAAACTCTCCTGATTTAAATCCAGTCGAGAATCTGTGGTCAATCTGCAAGAAACACTGGGTCATGTTTCACTGTAAAAATACGAAAATGTAAATAATAACGGAATTTTTCATTTTGTTTCAATTAATTGAGTATTAACGATATATATATATATATATATATATATATATATATATATATATATATATATATATATATATTCTAGCAACGGCATGAGAAAACTACGGGTATCATTTCATTGATTGAATTATGGAGATTATGACATAGTTCATTGTTTTCTTCAGATGATTCTCACGGAATGGTCAAATCTGATTCGGGAAGAAGGAAGCAGATTTTCTGCATTTTGACTTTCAATTCTTTCAAAGTGTCTCGTTGGTAACATTCACTTATTTTTACAACATCAAAATTGTCATTTGTTTTGGCAAAACACAGCGAATGTTGCGGAATAATTTTATATCTTCTTAATTAAAAAAGGCTTGTTTACACATTTTGTGATCATTCAATTAATATTTTACACGTGCGTTGGCGTATTGGTTAACGATCTCGTTTATCTGTCTCTTGATACCGAGTAATGAGTTTGTGGCCTTGTGCCAAACAAAGATAACCTTAATAAATAACAACATTGTCTACTTCTTGTCTGCAAAATAATCACTAATTAATAATCAAAGAGTAGCAATTAATTAAATTCTTAGAAACGAGATCTGAATAGAAAAAACAGAAACTGGAAAGACAGAGAAAATTCATAAAAATTGAAATTGAATTTGTAGGCGCCTTATAAGTAAAAAACAAAACAAAAAACAGATGAATTTGCATACACGTTTCTAAGTGTAAAGACCTTTTAAAATAACGTTGTCGAACCTTGCCATTCGGCAGATATGCTTCTTTGCAATTAACCTCAGAAAGCAAATCTCACTTGAAATCATATAAACGTCTTTTGCTTTGAGGTTCCATTTGTCTAAATTCAATTTGATCTCACCGCAGGCATTTCAAACTTTGTTAATCACTGATTGCAAAGTAGAATGACTGTAGAGTTTGAAGTAAGAACTTCTAATTTCAGGAGAGCATTACAATTGATATATCAAGTGAGAAAGGAAACTGAATTTCGGAAGAATATGACTCAATGAATAAAATGGTTTTACAAAGAAAAAAATGTCGTTATATGGAAAGAAGAGCTTCGATGGTGCATTAATTTAGTTTTATCAATATTCTAAATGATTTCGATTTTTCTGACATATTTTATGGAGGTGGGGGATAGTGAAGTAGTTATTGGTGCGAACCGATTTCATTTTTCGCACAACAACAGTCAAACTCATTCATAAATACGTCTTTGCCTGTTTATAATATATGCCAAGCCGCCATATTAAATTAAGTTTTTCCTGATAAGAATGTATTCGAAGTAGCCATCATGGATGAGTCTGATTGTTTCGGATGTATACCAAGAAGTCTTCATAAATGAGTTTTTGCCTGTTTAGAATGGATGTCACGGCGCTCTGATAATTTGCTTTTTCGTTTTCAAGATTTCATTTCTTTTCTGAAGCAAATACAAACAATCTTGTAAATTGTCTTTTAGCAGGAAGATATTGCTTCTTTCCTTATTCTAAATATTTCAATAGGTTTTAAAAATCAGTATCTGTTATTTATAAATAGTATCTTTCTCTTTTGACACGTCTGTAAATCTTCTCATAGATCCAGTAATTCCTCGTCGATCATTCGAATACATTCTAATGAGGCAAAACTTTAATATGGCGGCTTGGCATATATTATAAACAGGCAAAGACGTATTTATAAAATCTGCTTTGTATATATTCTAAACATGCATATGCACATTCATGAAGGCGACTTGCCATGAACAGGCGAAGACACACATCTACGTTAGTGGCATCCATTCCAACGAGACAAAAACACATAATGACATGGCATACATTCGAAACAGGCATACTGGAGGCTACATTTTTTTACAGTAAGGTTCATCCTGTACCAGGCCCCGGGGCCACTCGAGGTAGAGGTTTACGTTAAGGGATAGCTTGTATAGATAGAAGTGGAAGATAACTAGTTGACTCTAGACTTGAACGAGTTAAGATTGTAATGATCGGGGAAACATCATCTTGGGAGTCTGTTCCACAGGGCAGTGGTTCGTGGGAAGAAGCTGTTTGAGTGGAACTTATTTTCTCTCAGATGGAATACGGATGGAGTGTGGGTGGTTTGCT